CCTCCCTCATTAGTTAGGTCTTAGCTAAAATGTCACCTCCTCAGAGGCACCTGTCCTCATGGCCCAAACTAAAGCTGCCTTACCTACCCCTTGGAGGTCATCTGCAGTTTTAATTCATAGCACTTACTACTACCTAGAATTATCTTTTAAAAATTTATTTGTCTATTTCTCCCAATGAAAATATAAGCTCCATGAAAGCAAAGGTTTTGGCTGGATTATCAAAGAATCCCTAGATCCTAGACCCATGCCTGGCTCATGTTAAGAGCTCATTAATAGTGTTGAATGAATGAAATAAAACTCCTGATACTCCCTTCCAAAGAGGGTCCTTACCCAGAGTCCTCTCAGTACATGGCATCTCCACAATCTTGTTGGACAAGCCAGAAACTTAAAAGTCACCCATAGTGTCTCATCCCTGTCTCTCATCCCCCATTATCCAACTCAGCACCAAGCCTTGACATCATTCCCCTTACACAATTCTTCAGTTTCATTCACTTCTATCTGTGCCCACCTTCCTTCACCTAAGCTATCAACATCTCCTATCTGGACTGCCACAACAGACTTTTAAGGGTATCCACATTCTACTCCTGCTTTCTATGGCAACCAGAGAGATCTTGCAAAACATAAATCACAATACTCCCATATTTAAACTATTTCAATGGCTTCCCATTACTCTTGAGATAATGACAGAAATTCTAAATGTTGCTCTCTTTTCCAGCCTCATGTTGCACCATGCTCCTTATCACACTATACTGGTCTTTGTTTCCTAAAACCCTGTGTTCTTTCTCACCAAAGGATCTTGGCAGAAGCTATGCTCCTCCTCCCCACTCTTTTTACCTGGTTAACACTGCCTCTTCCTCTCAGTTCAATTGTGGCAATCTTCTAAGAAGCATCATAGACTTTCAAGAAGCTTCCTGATCTCCATGATTAGGCCGGCCAATTCCTTCTAGAATAACGCCATGTACTTCTACTTTGAAATCCTTATTACTTCTAATTTTACTTTTTTTGGTGTGATTGATTAATATGCATCTCCCTCACCAGACTACAGGTTCCATAAGGTCATGTCCCATGTCTATTTTTATTAACTATCACAGCCACAGCATCTAGCATGTGGGTAAATTTGCTGAATGAATGAAGTGCACTAATGTATGCTCAGGTTTTTAATATAATTGTAAGATCCGAAAATGTTCCTTGATGATCAAACCAGTATCTCAAGAAGTCTAAAGTTTAGTGAGATACTAATAATTTATTCAAAACTGAATGACTTACGGATCTAATTTTACATGTAATAATAATGTAATTTCTTATGAATGCTTTCATAAGGAAATAAAGGGGAAAAAACTGTTTATGTATATCGAGTTTAATGACTTTTCTGCCTACCAGTAACCAAGGGGTAGACAATCAGAAATAACCAAATCTAGCTCCTAGTATATCCCCTGCTAGTGCTGGTGGCAGAAAAATTCACACAGAGGGATTTCCAATCAAGTCAACACGAAACCTGCTTATTTTAGAGGAGTTTGTAATTAAAATGTTACAGTTGTATTGTGTGCACAATGAGGAAGAGATTGGCATTAAAATGTTAAAGGACAGTATTACTCTATTTAGATTATTAAATAAATTCCACAGTAAATGAAAATAATACATATAAATCCAGCTGCAAATTTGAATCAGGGTCACCCATTTTGGCTGAGTCAGCCCTGTGTGTACAGTTACCTAGAAGTTCATACCTTTCAGTTACCTAGAAGACAGCCTGGACTCTTACACAGTGTAGAACACTTCATGTGGGCAATAGAGATTCCTAAGATTTGATTCTAATAAGTCCTCTGACTGCATTCCTAATTATTCCTTTAATAAACCAACAGGAAATGCTTTAGATATTCTGTCATTCCAATAACATTCATTCAACACATTACCTGCTACGAGCTGGACTCTGTTCTAAGCCCTGGGAACTAAGAAGTGGGGGGCGTTCTGATCCCATCTCCTGTTTCCCAATCCTTAAAAACTCCCACTGTGTACTCTGGAATTCATGAACAGCCATGAGGAAAATCTCTTACAGATTTTCAACCTTTCCTCTGAATGTTATCTGTTCTACTTCAACCACTTACACCCGTGACTACATGCTATAAGCCTTGTCATTACTGGCAACTGCTCCATAATCTCAATTTCGGACCACTACCTCCTAACTTTAAAACTAATTCCCACAGGCCGGGC